TTTCACCTGGTTGCATGTTGACATTGCGCGTTCAGAGAGTAAGTGACCCTTTGAAGTTCATCCCGCATCCCCCTGTGTGGAGACGGAACCCACCTGCCTGGGTGACCAGGGCTAGTCGCGGAAGGACTATTTGTTGGTGTAGCGTTGAACTCAGTGAAGACAAAGACGGCCACTGGCGTGGATCGCGGTAAAGGGTGACGAGGAAGATATGGGGTGATAGGCCGAAAGGGAAAGTGGCGCTGAGGATAAACGGTCAACGGACGCCATCAGCTGGCACAAAGGAGGTGCGATGAAGAGGCATTTGTTCTGACGCTATCATGTGCATTGTGTATTTTGCATTTGCAATGACGCACCCATAAGCCTTGTTTTACTTTTTTAACAACGCCCTCTCGGCAGGTATATTTTTGTTATGAGAAATTTCATAAAAAAACAATGCCGGCGTTCTCAGTATGATTATATAGTTTTTATGGATGTGCCAATGATTTCCCTTGACTTACAGGGTGGAAAGTAATTACGCGAACATGTATTTTCTTACAATTTTGACCGTCAGTGGAGCAATTTTATGAGTACGGGCTGTCATGGAACATAATTGGTCGTGTTTGTTGTCGCCTCATCTACCAAAAGTGACCTAACTTTGAACAATGACCTGGAAGGTCTTAAACACCTCTCGACTTAAAATGGTGCAGACACCATACGCTGCACAAGACCGAAATGGGCAAAGAGCTCAATTTGGAGCTGCCAGGGAAAGCGTTTGTGATTATTTTCGCTGGACTGGCGGAGAAGGGATTCGTAGCGGTCTCAGCACCAGCATTGCACAATTATACGTTTTTTTTTAACATAATAACACTTGAGAGGACTTAAAAAGCAAAGCCGTCCGCGGCAGCAACCCCTCGGCGAATTCTGTCGCCGGGCGGGTGGTCACCATGTCGGCGACAAAACGACGCCAGTCGACCCGAAAACTGGCAAAATAGCTTACTCTGGTCGGGTACCCGATCTAGGATATCACGATTCGCACATTACTACGCAAAAATTCGAAAATTAAGTTGTACAAACCCTCGGAATGACCAAAATTCACGAATTAACAGCAGAATTGTTAATTGAAGCTTTTCAAAGACAATCAAAGATGGACAGAGGAGGACAGGCAGCTGGATTTGTGGTTGGGTGAGACATCTGTGAAACTGTTTCATCCGTCAAACCTGCAGAACAACTGCTCTGAGGGCTGTTGTTGCGTCCTATGTCCCGTCCGTCCCAACCTTCAAACATCCGGCAAAGGAACACATCAGTGGGTCACGAGCCCCCGGATGGTGTCAGAATTGCGTGTAGCGCTAAAAAAGGTCACTAAAAATAAAGTATACAACCGGTGGAACATCCTCCAAGACGAGTGTCTCTGTCTAATCCACCGTGCAACGAAAGGGGCAAAATGACTGAGCGCACTTTTGTGCCTGACGCAAAGAAACTGCTCTTCGTGATTGGTGAAATCCTTACTTTCACGGCCAACAAAACGCAATACTGGTGCTGTGAGAGCCTGTTTTTCTTCAGGACATACAAAAGATGATCTGGGAAACGCCTGGGCCTCAATTCGATTAAAAATCTCCAGATGACTCCTCAGGAGACCGTCTAAAAGCTGCAAGGAGCCACCAATACCGATTACCTCACTGGACAGCTCCATAAGGTGTGGGCTGAGCTTTGGCCAACAGATCTTCACATGCTGATGTAAATCATGCCGGAACGCCTATGTCAATGCATCGCAACTAGATAAGGATAAAGTAAAACATATATTGTTTATGTCACCGCCGTTTTTTTCATTACTAGAAGACGAAAAAGTATGTTCGCGTAATTACTTTCCACCCTGTATGTCGACTGCGAATTGCGCCCTGGCGACTCACTTGGCATGGATAACGTGCTATGAATCTTATATCATCTCCTGTATTACTTTCTGCCTTCTGGAAGTAGCACCTGACTTACACTCAGCCGGCAGCCCTCTGCTGGAATAGACCTGTTTGTAAATGTCATACACGAACTGCCGGTCGGGATTATCGATAAATGTTGATGCCACTCGGATTGAACGATCAGCGGAGAAAGCACTGGCTGACTGCAAATGACGGTATGATGCTATTTCGGCGAAGTGCAAATAACCTTTCAGCTACCACCGCTGAAATGGGAACCTGTGAGAATACCACCTGAGAATGTCTAACAGAGATGTCAAGTGCCCTTGCGTGGGATGCGTCACTGTTAGTACTCTACTTGAAATGCGCCGCACTGCGCCACGGCTCTTTATCAGCTGGCTCCCAGACCGTGTGGTCTGTGGTCTTTGGACCACGGACCACAGCAGACCGGACCGTATGGTCTGCCGGCTGCCGCCTATTCTGTTTGTCCGATCGATCTGATGAAGCCCTCCAGCGCTGTCGGTGGGACGAACGGGTCCGGTTTCCATGTGGGCGAACTGCGGGCGATGGAGATCCGCCCCCGCTCCCGCCCCCGCCCCCGCCCCCGCCCGGCGGCGGGCGGCGGCGCAGACAACCGATCCATTAGGCCGGGGAAAGTGTGCATACCGGTTCTGCGACACCTGAGCGAACGTCATTTCAGCGAACGACATTCGAGCGAAACATTTTCAGCGATTATCAATTTAAGCGATTGGCTTTTTCAGCGATTGTCAAGTTGGCGAATTCAATCACAACGATTATCAACTTTAGCGAGGACCAGAATCAGCGAAACCAGATTGAGCGAATATATGGTGGTCAGTGGGAGACCAATTGAGCGATGCAGTTACAGCGAATGACCGAACGCGACGAAAGTCAATCATTTGCTACTTTTCGGAAATTATTGCACCTCTTCACGCATCATTTGAATTTTGAAGACACATATGTGCATCGGACTACCAACAAGGGGTGCATGGGAGGGGAAGGAGGCAGGCAAAATTTGAATTTAAAATGTGGAACGTGAGAGATAGGACGACGGAAGGAATGACAAGGACCAATAATAAACTAGAGAGATGGCACAGGGAAATCCAGTCTATGTTTCAGGGACCTCACGCAAATATCTGGAAATTCGTACCGTACTTGGGGCAAGAACAAATTTTACAACATGGGGAACTGATCCAAATTCAAGCGGGGCAATTTCGCGAAAAAAAGCACAAGCAATATTGATCTCTGAACAAACGTTTGGTCACCATTATTGACAAAGAGCAGGGTGGGGTGGGGGTGGGGGGTGAAATTGAACGGTTGGAATTTTTGACAAATATAGCATTAAATTTGGAGCTCAATGTTTGACCTTTGAACGCGCGACATCCGCCATCCAGTTCCGGATAACCATGAGAAATTGCGGAAACATTCGTACGCATACGCTCGCAAAAGAAAAAAATCCACCGTTACAGGACGATGAAATGTTTCGCTGAACTGACAGTCGCTCAAATTGTATTCGACGAAATAGTTGTCGCTGAAACATAGCTTTCGCTAAAACTGATAATCGCTATATTTGATAATCGACGAACTTGCTAATCGCTGAATTGCCATTCGCTGAAAATGGTTCGCTCAAATGACGTTCGCTCAAATGACACTCGCTAAAGTCGCTCGCACCGGTGCATACCACTGGGAGGACGGGTAAGAGGAGAGTCACTGCAGCGGTGAGTCGACTCCTTGGGAGCGAAGTTACTCAGTCAGGCGTTAAATCTCTGGCGGCTGATATGAGAGACTACGCCACGATCTACAGGCTACGAGACTCCGCCCTGTAGCGTGTTTTTAGGACTGGATGTCAGTGTCACTGGTGTCACCCAATGACCCATGTCGCCAGTTCCTCTAAGCTCCCTGGGGTGTCTTACCTACTCACTCGCAGTCAGTCGACACTGACGGATGGGCGGGCAGGAGGCGCCTCCCGTCCCCTCATCTGTCCCTCTCTCCTTCCATCCATCGCTCTCTCGCGTCGCCGCCCCGCCCGCCTGCGAGCACCTACATATGCATGAAGTGTCGGGGGTGGCGGCGGCTGGCGCCTGCAAAGTTGAGCTGCTCTGCTCTGAGGGGCGCTGGTGGGTGGATGTGGGGTAGAGTGGCTGTAGAGAGTGCGTAGGTGTGTCTGTATAAGGCTTGGCTCGGAGGCAAATTAGTCTTCTTACCTGGTCGATTTAGATGAACCATGTAACCGATGCTAGACGTTGAGTTGGATACGTTGAGTTGGATTGACTTGGAGTTGGGGACGTTGGATCACGTTTGGTGGAAGCTGTTTTAGTGTGAGTCATTTGGGCTAGTGGCTGCTACACGGTTGTGGGATTGAGTGTGACTAGTCTGGCGTCATTACAGCCGTCACTGTAGCCGTCACCGTCGGGTGATATCCGTCTGGTCATTGTGGACTCCGCTCAGTGGGCTTTGTGGCATTGACGGTAGACTACATTGGCTGCAGTTTGGGCGTGAAATCACACGTCCTTCATTTCCTACAAGGTTTTGGCAAAGTTGCACTGTCTGGACACGTTCATAAATGCCCTGGATCCGTCTCACCAACCTTCGGACATCACCTCTCAAGGAAACGCCGCCCGGTCATACCCTGAATAACGTAGCAACCAGCTCACCATGGTCTTGTACCACTTGACTCAATGATAAGACTGGACGTGAACCTGAATGCCTGGAGGTTTTATAACCAGTGTCAATCCCATATGGTCTGTCTGAGGTCATGACTCAACTGTTTAGTGTTGTGCCGTTTAGTGCAATGAGCCGCGCTGCTTACGTTTCATCGCGTCTAACTGTACCGTGACATTGTTATGTGTCATGCCGTACCTTACTGTGTCATAATCAATGTCAAACTGGATGCCATCTTGCAAAATGTACCGTATCGTAACGCATCGCACAGCGCTGTTATTCCCCGTCCGAGTCTTACCGACATGTGGTGTAACGCAGTGTAACAAACTATGCCATATTAAATCGTAAGTTTTACCGTAGGTACTTATCCCATTTCATCTCACTGAGCCCACTCCCAGTGTCTCACCCCCCCCCCCTCTCTCCCCAACAGAGCGCCCACATGGCCGTCATGGAGGCGATCATGGTGCTCTACATCCGCGAGCTCATCACCGCCGAGCGAGTGGTGGGGGTCGTGAGGCGCTTCACCGCCCTCCAGTCGAGCACCGAGCTGCCCGCAGACCAGGAGGAGGCCCTGCTGCTGTGGATCAACAAGGCGTGCGCGCGGCTGCGCGGGCAGATCGCTGCAGAGGTCCGAGAGGTGAGAGGGAGGGGAGAAAGAGAGGAAGGAAGGGAGGAAAGAAGGAAAAGAGGGATAGAGGAGATAGAGATAAATGGAAAGGGATCTAGGAGAGCGAAAGATTGAAGATCTGTTTCTCTTTCTCAAACTCAGGGATGGGTGAAGGCATAGCTAATTGAATCGGAGGATAAATAGAATGAAAATGAGAAAGAATGAGAAGGGGCAACACAAACATCGTTGAAATCAGGGCTGCGGAGTCGATGGATTTTCGGCGACTCCGACTCCGACTCCGACTCCGGCTTTCAAAAACCAGCTCCGACTCCGACTCCGACTCCGGGCAGAATTGTCGACTCCGACCGACTCCAACTCCCGACTCCGACTCCGCAGACCTAGCAGGGCTGCGGAGTCGACAGATTTTCGGTGACTCCGACTCCGACTCCGGCTCGGGTTTCTAAAATCGACTCCGACTCCGACTCCGGTCACAACTGTCGACTCCGACCGACTCCGACTCCGACTCCGACTCCGACTCCGCAGCCCTGGTTGAAATCTAGAGACATGCATAAGGGGAGAGATTTAGTGATAATGGGGAATAAGAAGAATAAAAAACTGTGACAGGAGAGCAGAGATGAGAGCAGTGAAACGTCTCTGATCCATATACCACGTGGTTGTTGGGCGCAGTATAAAGTCTGCTATCGCTAGTGTGAGTTTTCCCATCCGGTGTTAGCGGCTCTGTTCCGACCATCCCACGCTATATGCCCGCAGGGAAAGGCGGGTCGCTCCCACACACACGGGGCGCCGGTTAGGTAGTTAGTCGCCACCGAATGCCGGCTATAACGGCGCTCGCTGTGACCCTTGGTTAGCCTGTGACCTGGGGTCACCGGGGCGGGGTGCAGGGTGGGTGGGGTGGTGAAGAATTGACAGGTAGCGCCATCGCTCCCGCTGCTGGTATAGCTGGTCCACTGTATGTTGCCTGTTCTTGATGAACCCTCTCTAAGTGTTAGCTGCGAAGGTCAGCATTTAATTAACACATGGTGATTTGAGATGGATCTAACAAGTCTGGTTGCGATAGTGTGACTCTTGAGCTGGTGCCGCTGAGGTAGCTTTTTGTCGATGATTATCACATATTAGCCCATTTTTATAATGGTTAACTCATATCTACCCACAAGTGATCCATCAATATTCGAGCTGCCTACGTGCTGCGTGGTTATGTAAACATTACACCAGCGAATCCCGCGGTTTGGGGCTGGTCGCTCCTAACCACATTTACATGACGTCCAAATTGTCCGATATGAAAGTAGCCGTCTCATGTCGACACAGTGATTGAGCCGGTGTCCGCCGTCGCCTCTGGGGCGGCGTTTGTCCGTATCGTTATCCTAGAGATTACAGCGCCGCGGGTATTGTCCAAACACGGGAGTGCGTGGGATGGTAGAACAGTGAGATAGCTGGGATGTGGCCGTTGGGGATTTTCACTTACAGGGCCCGAGATAATTGGAATTTGGAATGATTGCGCTGTGGACGTGGGAAGGATTTCATTACAGAACTGTGGCTAAGATGATCAAACATGACTTGGCTGTTGTGACCGTTAGGTATGGTTGAAGGAGAGCTACTTGGACAGAAAACTGATATGCTGGGAAGAACCAACGGAATTTCCACATTGATGTGTATCGGTAGACTGGGCTAAATGGCAGTTGAGCTGTGTTCCGCAGAGGCGGGATTTCATAGACTTTCGGGATTTGGTATACGACGGAAGAACTTTTGAGACCAGTAGCATTGCCGCGACCTTCCGGCTGATAACCGCCGTTTCCACTTGTGCACACCTCTGACACTACCCCCCCCCCCCCCCCCCCCCCCGCCCTCAGGAGGACACGGTGCCCCGGTTCCCGCTGCAGCAGGACATCAGCGACCTCTCGGACGGCACGTGTCTGGCCGGCCTGATCTCGCTCTACTGTCCCGACGAGCTCAGCTGGCCAGAGATCGCCTTCTCCGACCCGCCGCGTATCGCCGACAGTCTCTACAACCTGCAGCTGGTGGAGAAATTCTGCAGAGAGGCGCTGCCCTACAGTCCGCACTTCCTGACACTGGAGGATATACTGTATATGCACAGGTGAGAAGTGAGAGGTGGAAAAAGAGGGAGGCGGACTGGTGGTATTGGGTTTTAGGGAGTTGAGGCGCGGAGCCCAGTGTATCGTGGGTATCGGGGTTAGTCATGGTCCTCAGCTCACAGTTAGATCGATATGGAACGATTTTAGCGATGTTATGGGTTAATTGTAGGCCTGGGAACGTTCGGGGCTTACTTCAGTGTTTTGTTACCTGTTGATTGTTACCATTTATATGGCATATGTATTGCTATCGAGTATAAAGCCAGTAAAAGCTCAATTTTTACAAACAACGTTTTGCCCGTCATGCACCAATGGTAGCAATTATTATAACGGTTGAGACATGCAATTGCTATTTGGACAGATTATATTACCCGCACTGACTTGTTCCTTTTCCATGTTTTTCCTGTACTCAAAACCTATTTAAAAAAAGTCATGGCAGTCTATGTAACTATGTGTGTAACTGTGTATCATATGTCCAGTATTCTGTTTCCCGTTATATACAGTTTTCTAGGTACCAGTTTTTCAACACTTACTCAGCTTCAGCAAGGAGATTGATCCACAAAACAAACACTTATGCTCCGTCTCGTCCCTGACTGTTACGCCTCCATTTTGTCCGCAGTTCGGTGAAGCAGAACCTGCTGGTGCTTCTGGCTGACCTGTTTTACCTGTTCGAGATTAACCCGGCCAAATGTGTCCGACAGCCGGGCATGGCCAAAGAACGAGCCATCGATGTGAGTTGTTGGCTGGGGAGCGGACGTGGAGGGACTGGGGGAGGGTGAAATGGACGCACGGTGAAGTCATTGGTGGAATTAAGGCTGAAGTCAAGTCTGGGGACCAGCTGGGATAGCAGGCTGTTTTTCTGCACTGAAGAGCAATTATGCAAACCCATGACGTGCACACCTTCGGACAGTAACTTATTAGCTGCCGTCCTTCTAAGGGTTACGGAACTCAAGGCGGGACTGGTATTTTGACTGTGTGTGACCATTGCTTATGACATGTGACCAACATGACTCGTGATGTGTATTGCCCACAGGCAATGCGTCGGCAGGACCCGTACGCGGGCAGTCCCCGCCGCTCTCAGCCCGAGCTGCGCCGAGACAGTCTCAGTCAGGCCGGCAGCGTCTCAGGTGAGAGCCCCCCCCCCCCTTCCCCTTCCCTCCGCCTGTCAGACTCTTCCCCCTAGAACCAAGGATGACCCGTGACGTCCCACACAGTTCTAGTCGACTACAGAATGATGTTCCACTTTTCACAGGCAATTATTTGCCTGTAGTGGTAGGCTGTGCCGCATCACACGGGCCTGAGTTCACAAATTATAGCTTTGTCCCAATGCTCACAATCGACTCGATTAATCGCGTGATAAACGGCACAACTTAGCGCTACGGTCAACTGATAGCTTCTGAGGAGTGGAACATCATTCTGTAGTCGACTATACTTGCTGAAGCGTACCTGTGACGTCAAACACTGGTCGTCTTCAGTCCCACTCAACACTGTCTTGTCTGCCCCTATCCTTCGGAATACCTTCCCCTTTCCTGTGGGACATGGTGGCTGTATTGCGCCTGAAGGCATGCTAGAGGTCAATGCTCTAAGGTCGGGCGGGTCGCGATTTTCCAACAGTATAACACGAACCGTCAGGTCTTGCAGGGGTCTGGCGTCTCGCATTGTACTGCTGGTAAAATCGCGACCGGGTCAGCTTCTACTAACTAACTGGTGACGGTACCTGGGTCTGGTCGCCCTGTTGATACGTTCCCCCGGCTGTCTCTCTCACGCTTGCCTTGCCTGGGCACGCGGTGGTCGTTGCCGGCTTACTAACGCCCCCTTGCCGGTGGTGACATGCAGGAGGGCGCTACCCCCACTCGGAACCGTCCGTCGTCCTGCGCCGCAGCAGGGGCTCGCACTCGGCGGAGAGGGCGCGGCAACGCTTCAGCATGTTCGAAGGTATGCAGGAGGTTAGGATATTGTGGTTGTTGGGATGGTTGTTGGGGTCGCGATACGAAGCAACACAACAATTTGAAACGTTTCTTTACTTCTTCGGATTATGAGGCTAGGTTTTTCAGCATTTGTTATTTTGAAAACAACTGAGCTATTAAATTTTCAGAGGCTTTGATTGGCTATTATTTCATCCAAATCTCAGATGAAAACGTCATTGGACAAGGTACTTCACATTCTATCTTCTTTCATATTCTTACTTCCAAGTATCTCATGCAAGTTTATTTCAAGATTCGGAATATTGGCGCCATGGTGAGATACTCAAAGTGCGGTAATTTGTGAATGGAATTCGCGATACTTTTCCGTTCTTGTCATTAAAAGAACTTGTTTTCGATAAAACAAGGCTGTAGCAAATTGTTGTAATATCAGACAAACCTAGATACAATGTCTCAAATAGCCGGCTAGACGTAGTGCAAATGTGCAATGAAGGGTGGCTGGGTGGTCGCTTGTCCGCTAATGTGCATTGTGCATTGTAAATAAAGTATTTTTGGTGCTGGTATAATTCACCCCGTCCAAGAAGATTTGTCAGTGTGCTCGTGGTCCAGCTGGCAGCAGATTGTTTGTCTGTCTGTCTACAGGTCTGTTGGCGACACGGTCCTAACACGGGACTAACGCATCATTCTTCCCACTCCTACCCTGACTGACTTGTGACCTACAATCTGACCCGACCTGACCCGTGACCTGACGTGGAGTATCGCACTGGCATGTCCTCACTTCCCTGAGCACATGGATAGTGATAATTCACATCTACCTCACCAATTACTCACCTCACCTTTCTCACCATATTTTACCTCAATTCGCGTATCACCCCGCCCTACACCACTATCACTCGAGCTAGCGGTACTGCCCACACACCCACCGACTCGGGAAGGGACTCAGTGAGACGAGAGACGAGCGAAGGCGACGAGACGAGAAGACGAGGCAGACGAGCCAACCTTTCGACAGACGGCCGCCATACGTAGGTATTTGTTTTGCACTTGGGAGACCCGTAAGTGGCACTCTTGTTGCGCAAACATACCCGGCAAGTGGGTGAGCGAGTGCTCTCTCTCTCTCTCTCTCTCTCTCTCTCTCTCTCTCTCTCTCTCTCTCTCTCTCTCTCTCTCTCTCTCTCTCTCTCTCTCTCTCTCTCTCTCTCTCTCTCGCTCTCGCTCTCGCTCTCGCTCTCTGTTATCTGTTCTTTATCTCTCCATCTGTTACCTTCACTTTATTTTCCTTCATTTCTCTTTTCTCTTTCCTGTCACTCATCTCATTCGCGCTGTTGCTGTCTCGGGTTCTCGGGAAGTTAGTCTCTCAACTCTTAACTTGTTTGCCACTGAAAGAAGTTCTTTCCATTCGCCAACTACATATGATTGACACTTCTTGTTCTGTCCGTCTTAATCGTACCCAGCTCATCGCCGTTAGGACATGAAGCTGATAAGTTATCACTGCAGCCTTGTTTTCGGACCACCGCACATCTAAACCACGACTTACGTCTACTGTCTGTCCTTTGCTATGCTGTTTTACAGCTATCAGTATTTCTTAGCTCCAGACAGATGCAGTGCACAACTCTGCGTCTACTGCTGAAGACACAGTTGGTTAAAGAAATCAATTGTTCGAGCTACCTACCGGCCTGATCCCTATCCTGATATCTGCGGTGCTGGAACTCACTAACGTCACATCCGTGCATGTTTCCGCGCATGTTACACGCATGTCAATATCCAAAATTGAAAATGCTTAAACACTTACTGAATGCTGTTGCGATCAACTGACTGACGTTTTCAGAGACGCTGAATCTGATATAAAAGTTATGGCTTCATAACCAGCTGCGCGACTGATCGAGACTGACACCGGCGCCGCCCTAGTTAGTGCGCGCTGGACGATGGACCGACTTCTTACAGACGACGGACCACCACTTGTTGAGCCCCGGTTACACCACCGTCCGCTCGTGGCAGTATCAGTCGGTGTTGCGATTGTAAATGTCATGAGTGGCCGTAGGAAGATAGCAACGCTTCTGATCAGCTGTTTGGCTGTCTCAACAGTCGGGTGTTGTGCCTCTGACTGGCCTTACCGTTCCGTTGTTACCGCTGCTGTGACTGGCGTGTTGAGGTGATTGTTGTGTCGAGTTGTGATGTTACTGTTGTGATTGTACCGCTGTTCCGTTTGTTGTGACTCTTGTCACTGCTGTAAATGACGTGTATAGGGCGGCTGTTGCGCCTGGGCGTCTCTCTACCCGGACTGGTGGTGGCGCTGTGTCTGTTGTTACTGTTGTTACCGCTGTTACTGACGTGCTAAGGCGGCTGTTGCGCCTGGGCGTCGCTCTACCCGGACTGGTGGTGGCGCCGTGTCTGTTGTTACCGCTGTGTCCTGTTACCGCTGTGTCTGTTGTTACCGCTGTTACTGACGCGTGAAGGCGGCTGTTGCGCCCGGGCGTCTCTCTACCCGGACTGGTGGTGGCGCTGTGTCTGATGTGTCTGCTGTTACCGTTGTGTCTGCTGTTACCGTTGTGTCTGCTGTTACCGCTGTGTCCTGTTACTGCTGTATTTCTGACGTGTGAAGGCGGTTGTTGCGCCTGGGCGTCTCTCTACCCGGACTGGTGGTGGCGCTGTGTCTACTGTTACCGCTGTGTCCTGTTACCGCTGTTTGTTACTGACGTGCTAAGGCGGCTGTTGCGCCTGGGCGTCTCTCTACCCGGACTGGTGGTGGCGCTGTGTCTGATGTGTCTGGTGTTACCTCTGTTACCGCTGTTACTGACGTTTTAAGGCGGCTGTTGCGCCTGGGCGTCGCTGTACCCGGACTGGTGGTGGCGTTGCTCCCACCCTCCCACCGAGAAGTGTCACTACTGTTCACGGCCCGGTCAGCTGCCGTTTGAACAGCAGTGTTATCATCACCACCTGGCTGCCGACGGTAGGCCGGCGGAGTGTACCGGGGCCGGACGGATGGCTGACCCGCACCCGACCGCATGTCTGTGTGCCTGTGTGTCAGCGAGAGGGCCTGCTCAGAACCGAGTCAGATTTCCACATCCTTGGTTCGCTCCTTCTGTCGTCCTTATTCAGATCGAAATGAGCACGCTTTGGGCCATTTCGGCAAGCGAAACACCAATGTCGAAACCTGTACACCGTGACAGGTCGACACCTCGCCCGCCTCTTCCTCTCCAATCCTTCCCAGTCATCACCTGTCTCGGCTCTGTACTCTGCATCTGCGTCCTGCTCTCGCTGACTCGCTAAGTCTCCCACTGACGGAGGCTGCTCCATTGAGCCGATTACATTTACGACCGGTCCAGAGCCGAGCTGGGTCGATTTTGAGTGTGTTTTTTATTAAAGGAATGGTTGTGGCACTACCGTTAGGAGTTGTGTTGATTTGTCGTGCTTGCTGTATTTTTGATTAGGTATGGATTGTTTCGGCATGGTTTGTGTGTTGTGTTTTTGCGGTGATAATTTGTAGTGGTTTGCTGTTTTCTCCTGTATCTATTGTGTTCTTCGATTGTGTGCTCCTTTTGAGTGTACCTTTACATAATTTGGTTTGGAAATAGTTTTGTTTTTTACCTGACGTGCTGTTTTCTTTCAACAATTTGATTTGATTTTTCAGGTACTTGGCACTATTTTTCTTCTACTGATCCGTTGTATGCCGTTTGTGTATGCCGTTATAATTCTGTTTGTCATCTGCATGGCATGATCGTGTAGGCTAATATGTGCATTGGATATTGCTTGTGCTGGTAATCTGATGAATGTGCACATATTCGCAAATTAGTAATCAGCTGGTCCCACTCATCTAGGGCCCGATCAGGTAGATCGTTTCGCGTCACCTTTCAAATTGTGCGATATCGATCTTTGAATGTTAAGGCGCTATCACTGTTGATATGCGTAAAGTATGAAGTTATACTTAAGTACATTGTGAAGCGGCCATAGCCACTTTGTATTGCATTCAGTCATTTCTTCTGAAGCTCATGCTGCTACAGTACCACGTTTTGTACCGACCTCTTTATACGAGGGGGTATCGAAAAGTTCTGATCATCACATAGAAGATATAGACCGATTTTGATGATTTTTGGTTGGTATTATATTTGGTTCTTAAGAACAATGCTCCCGCAAAGAGAACCCTGAGAAGTGGTTTTATCTTATGTAGGAGAGACTTAGAAGTAAAAAAGATGAGTATTGGGCCCATTGAGGACCGAACCGTCATCCAACTAATGTATTTGAAACGGTATCACACTGAGAAAATACATCAAGAACGTTAAATTAGTTTATGGCGAGGAAAGCCCATCTCATGCACTTACCGAAAATGAAGAAATAATTTTCAACTTGGTTGCATGGCCCTTGCAGGGGAGTCAAGAAGTGAGTGACTACCAGTGACTGACAAGGTGGTGACTGTGAAGGAAGTGGAGGACCTCATCCTTACAGATCGTCGTGTGGCCTTTCAGATGATTGTGCAATAGAAAGGTCTCAATGCTGGCAGTGCCTGAAAATATTATTAGCGAAGAACTATAGATGATAAAGGAGTCAGCCCGCTTAGAAGTTCATGTGTCTTCTTTGTTCAAGAGAAAAATGCGTCTTGGCCTTTCGAAATGAAAACTAGGTCTTTTTTAGGAAAGTGAAGACATCTTCGATCATTTGATGACTTGTGACGAATGCTGGGTCTATGTGTATGATCCAGAGACAAAAAGATGATCAAGAAGTTTAAGCACGGCACATCTGTCCTTCTTAACCCTCGCACCGACGGGGGGGGGGCGGATATCCGCCCCCCCCCCTGAGGTTTTTCGCGAATAGCGGGAAAACCGCGGCGCGTAGCGCCGCGAAATTTGGTATGACTATAATCTCATCAATTTTACACATGGTGTGCAAGTTTGAACCTCCTACCTTTTAAGGTCAGGTCACCAGGTCACTTTGAATGACCCAACCTCAAGTCACTTTTTTGCAACTTTGTCACCGTGCCAGAGCTACAGTAGATGTCGGAGGCCTTTGAAAGTTGCAGGATATTATTAGGTCATTAGTAGCTACAATTTGTATATCTCGGAATTTTGATATCGGTGACCTAAGGTCAGGTCAATTTCGCGACCTCCCCATTATAATTCAATGGGGGAAAAATCAACTCCCTGTTTTTACCACTAAAACGGGTCGGAATGGCCCCATATACCATACATGACTTCATATACGATCAACCTTCACTACCTTGAGGTCTGTTTTGCTGTTGGGCAGCTGTGAGGTCATGTGACGTCATCAAAGGTCACCAAAGGTTTTTGGCCAATAACTCCGTACAGGAACAAGATACAGACGCGTGGATGGTCTCATTGTGTTCAGCTCGTCAAGACGCATCGAATGATATACATGATGACCTCGAGATCACGTGACCTGAGGTCAACCTTTGACCTTGACCTTTCGAGGTCAACATATATATCATTCGATGCGGATTGACGAGAGGATCACGATGATGCCCTTAGTTTGTTCCTATCTTGACTAATTCGAAAGTTATTCGAGAAAAACTCTCTCCATATCTAGCGCCGCCATTTTGACTTTTTCGACCCCTGTGACGTCATCTTTGACCTGACCTGAAAATGACCTTAGTAAAAATGGTAGATCTTGGCCGTGCGTATCCGATGCCGTTTACCGCTTGTCGCTATCTTGCTTCGTTCTCGAGATCTCAGGGGGGGGGGGCGGTCATCCGCCCCCCCCCCCGTCGGTGCGAAGTTGGCGCAGACCCCCGTCGGTGCGCGGGTTAAAAGGCGAAGATGCAGAAGCCGATATGGAAGGTCAATGCTATCAGTGTTGTGGATCTGGCGTAGGATAGTCATTACCGACTGTCTTGATGATGGTCGGATAATGATAAGCAAGCACTACTGCACACTTTTGAAGAAGTTGCGAGATGGCCTCAAGCAGAATCGCCGCCAAAAAGCCCAAGAAAGATGTTTTATCCGCACTGACAGCGCCCCCGCCCATTCGTCCTGAGCTGCGATTGAAGAAACAGCATGAGGTGGACATTAAATCCTATCGCATCTAAGAAATTCACCTGACCAGGTATTTACTGACTCTTAATTGTTACGGGAGATGAAGAATCCACAGTATGGCCGGTGATTTAAGGACAGAAATGACGTCATTGATGAGGTGGAGCAGTGATTTACGGGACAGTGCGAGGGTCCTACAATGACCGCCTGAGGCAGCTCAAGAAACGATGCAATAAGTTTGCGGTCGTGTGTGGTGACTTGTAAAGGAGTAATGAACATCATGTAAAAAAATCAAACTTCTATCACATCTAATTCATGGTGATGATCAGAACTTTTCGATACCCCCTCGTATGTTTTGCCCATACTTGAGCGACTATCAGACCTTTGTTGCAGAGTTATTCCTCCCTGACGCTTTGCGTCTTCCATGAAATACTCAATTATTCATCCGTCCTTCCCTCTTTGAGTGTATTCGCTCACCAGTAGTGTTCTTCTGATTCCTTTTCTCTCTTTTTTCCCCGACCGAGTGTCCCGTGTCTGTGTTCTTCTCTGACGTAATATATCGTGTCTCCGTTCGTCCAGCTGCCGGCCGGGATAGTCCATCCGCTCACAGCTCTGGTGGCTCGCGGCGGCCGCAGTCCATGATGTACCCGGCCGATGACCGCTCGACCTACCGCGAGGACGACAGGTGGGTGCACCCTCCCCCCCCCCCCCGTCGGCGCCGACAGGGTGAGGGGTGTGGGGGGGGGAGGGTCGGTCGATTCCGGGCGGGGCCGGTCTGTGGAGGTGATCACTAGTGGGTCACGCTTCACTGTGGGACGGTGGTCGGTGTCGGCTCAGCTCGGCTCGGTGGATTCTGTTGGGTAATATCGGGTTAAATACGGTGTTGACTTTGGGAATTTAGGGAATCTTGCAACTGCTTACGTTAGCAGCAAGTTTCAAGCTATTAATCACTGCCACAAAGTTTGTTTTCCAAAATTGATAGTGATCCCAAAGTGTTCTATGTTGATATTTGAACTCTCGTTGCGTCTGTTTTATGTAGACTGCCTTTTCCATTTAAAGTATGCACTTTTGTTTTCGGACAGCTTGTATACTGTGTGCGTGTTTCCCAGCCGTGTTTATCTATCTCCCGTAATCCGCACACATCCCGCCCTTTTTCAAACAAAGCAGAGCGCGATTTGTGCCCTCTCTGACGTGTTTACCATCCGCCGTCAGGTCCAACTCTGAGGAGAGTGAGTTCGTGGTGCAGCGCGCCAGCGGCCCGATGACCCTGTCTCGGATGGCCCACCAGCGTCGCTCCCAGAGCCCGCCTTCGTCGGTCCACTCTGACGACCCCCCGTCCCGCCGGCCCCTCAAAGAGCGTCTGAACCGAGACACAAAGTGGGAGGAACGCGGCGAGGAGCGCCGCGGCGCCGCATCTGAGTGTGGTGATATGGAGAGGAACCGCCCGGCTGGTAAACCCTCCCCACGGGGTGCCGGAGGGGGGAGGCTCTCCCGGCGGAACTCCTTCACAGAAGAGTCACAACTGACGGTGGAGAATTTCGGTGGGAGTCAGGATAATCTCCAGCTGCTGGGCCGTAATCCTGATAAACAGCCGGTGGTACATCGTGGCCGCCGTGAGAGCAGCACGCATCGCGACCTGCTGAAAGAGAGTGCCATCAGTTTCGGTGACCGCGATCCGTTCCAGGAGGCCGAACAGGAGCGTGCCTCGCGCTCAGCCAGCCGAGCTAGCTTGTATGACCGCAGCGAGAGTAGACAAGAGCTCGGGCGGCCGCCCAGTCGAAACCTCTTCCAGAGCGACTCAATCAAAGAGCATTTCCAGCCCACTGGCCGACGCGGGGATGACTCTCGTGCCGATCGCGACGATGGTTTCCGTCCAATTGATGACGCGGGAGGGCCGGTGGATATAGACAACCGAGTCCTGGACGCGCTGGAAAGAGAGGCGCGTGGTGATTCCCCCTCCAAGGCCGGCAACAATCTGGTGATCATGTTCGACAACAACGACGAACAGAAGCCGACCAGCTTCGCCGAGCTGAGCAAAGTTCAGCCGCGAGAGAACGCCGGCGGTATCAACATCGTCTACATGCAGCATGAGAAGGAGGACCGCGCCAAGCCGGCCGGCGGAGCGCGGAGCAACGGTACGGGTGGCGGCGGCGGCCCGCCGGCCGCGCCCCCCACCACCAGCTGGGGGCAGCAGCAGCACGGACAGCAGCACGGACAGCAGCACGGACAGCGACACGGCCTCCCCGCCTCGGGTATGTAGACGATGCGGGAATAGTACACGAAACACTGCAATCGACGACGGTCACATGTGCATGTCAAGTACTAGTGGGATCAGCCGTGTTTTATCTTTCTTTTAGCCAGAGCAGGACAACTGTTATTTTCCGCCAGTTGTGCGCTGCTGCCATTTGCTCAAATCTACATACTTACGTTTTAATATCACTTATATCTTAACCATGGAATTTACCAAGATAATAATTGACATAGGTATTCGTTTATTCGTTTCGTGTTTATAACTGATGCGCTTGCAACCCTTCTCCCCCAGACACATCCACTTCTCGATTAGAGTAGCATTCACCTATCGATACCAATCACAGATGATAGGGTCTAGTTTATCAATATCGTCTTGTCACTCGCAGAGGGTGCTCCCGAGCCGGACATGATGGCCTCAGAGCTGCACAGTATCAAACTGAGACTGGAGGAGAAACGGCGCAACATCGAGAAGGAGAAGCGGCGGATGGAGTCGGCCATGAACCGGCAGAAGCAGAACGTTGGCAAACAGGCCTTCCTGCAGGCCATGGGTCAAGTGAGGATGGCGGGGTGATGGGTTTGCTGAGTGTTGAACACTTCTGACGAGTGCAGAGAGGTAGTGGGTAGACTGATTAGGGACTGAGTATGGGTTGGGCTTTGGGATTAGGCGTGTGGGTTGTGATTAGAACTTGGGTTTAGACGATTGCGAGGGACTGAGATAGCACTGAGTCTGAACGGATCATTGTGGTGTGAATTTTCCGTGGAGTCCTAAATCGAATAGCTGAGGTGTAGTGAGTCGGCCTTAGCGTCGTGAGAAGAAGATAAGGGGAGTCTCGACATTTTGTTAGGGAGAGGGAGTCTGATGAGGTGGTTTGAAGAGAGGGACATTTGGTAAAAGATGCCTGGTAGAAATTAGGTGAGAGACGGGAGCAGGACAGACTGAACCATCTGGTGTGTCGCCGACCAAGCCCCGATCTCTCTCACCGCACCGCCGCCGGTGTGCAGAGCAAGTTCCGCGGCTCCGGCGGCGGCGGCGGCAGCAGCAGCGGCTCCGTCTCGGGCAGTGAGGGCGGTGCCGAGCCCGCCCCTCCTCCACTGGATATCATGGAGGACAGCGTGGAAGTATCGGCGGCGCAGGCACAGGCCGAGGCGCGGCCGCCCACACTGCAGGTGACAGGCTGCGCGTCCGTCCCGCACTGTGGACACGCGCTCCACTGTGGACAAAGCAGCATGTGGATTGTGGTGTAGACTAGAGTCGGCGGTAGTGATTAGTGGGCTGCTAAATGTGGGCGTTTTGATGCGTCCGTTGAGCGAGGATTTTTGGTGTTGTCGACCCCCAGCTGAGTGCATTTTCGTGTCGTTTTTTCGAAGTGTTCGTATTTTTCGTTTTTCACTTTTTTCGTTTCGTGTGTTCGCACGTAACTTTGTTCTTGTAGTGGCGTGGACTAGTGATTGTGATTTTTGCATGCTTACTGACTGCTTTTGTGTATGTACTGCAGTCGTAATGTTTCGTCGTCATTCTAGATAACACGTTACTACAGCTCACCCGTAGTAACTTTGCGTGTCTTGTTGGCAACGCGTGTGTAGTGTATTTTCACTCGGCCGATAGTGATGTTTTTGCACCTGTTGACCATTTTGTGTTCTTGTTTTATGTTCTTTTCTTTGCACGCTTCCTCACAATTACTTATAAGCGTTTGTGCATATGGCTTATTCGTGTTCGCTTACTTCGTTCCACTGTTATACCTGATACTGATTTGATAATTATCTATCGTGCGTGCGATGTTTAGTCCCACAATATTTCCTCACTATACATCTTAAACGACCAAGTGCATTTTACTGGATCCAGTCGTTTTATGGCACGGTTTTAACAGCTGCACTATGTCATTTTGAGAGCAATTATTCACTCAACATTGTTTCCCTTGCATTTAATTGAGTCATACAACACGATCGTTGTTTCACCCGCGTTCATGACAAGTAAGGCTGAGTGTTTTAACTTTGTTTGACCTCCATTCTGCCTACCCTCTAACAGGAGGTGAACCAGAACCTGAGTCATATGAAGGACAAGTGGGGCCGGGTGCCGGACGCCGCCGGTAGTCCCGATCTGGACAACATGGACTACGACCAGTACACCAGCTCGCTGCAGAAGTGAGTGAACGTTGAAGGAAGTGGTACTGTGAAGACACCGAGCGTGAAAGGTTGGGGTGGGGCGGGTGTCGTAAGGGATCTTGGCGGGTGTCGTATGCGGCAGATGGGGAATGTTCTGGGGTTATAGGACTGATTTAGTATGGTAGCTATCATAGGCAAACCTCCCTATACGCCTCAGGGTATGGCTGTTTCTAACGGCTTGTTTCATTAATTGTGTGCCGGGTAAATTTAGCATGACATTATTATATGCGATATGAATAGCGCTGAATTGGTTACGTCTGGTCATATTACGAGGATATGTGACAACCAATGTCACAGTGATTGTTAAGTCGTTGACTTTGTAAAATTTATCAATGCCCTGACGTGCTGACTTTCGTCCTTCGCTCCCTCAGCATGAACGAGTCGCTGTCTGAGCTGCAGAACGATATCCAGCGACTGTCGCAGCAGCAGTCGCAGATGCAGCAGATGCACAACATCATGCAGAACGGCGGTCAGACACAGGCGAGTGCTGGGATGGGATCCAGCGACCGCCCTTCCCAATCTTGTCAGTGGTCGAAATGTGCGGGGGCTGATCGGTGTATTACTTGGCTTGCTATCCGGCAATGTGGGAGCGGGCTATCAATTTTACTCACCAGTCACCATAGTATTGTGAGCACATCACCACAGCTTTTTTTTTTTTTGCTGCGCTGGAATATTTGGACATTTATGTTTAGCGCACACACTACCCGATAAAATGAGTACTTTGTTCTCTTTTCAGAATAATTTTTCTTTTGCATTTTACTGGCGCTATACTCGCTTTACTGTTATCTATCACCCCATACCGCCGCGATTTCCGTACCCTTTACCCTGACTGACTGTACACCCCTGTACCACAGCCACCGTACCAGCAGGCGTACCAGCCGCCTCAGTACCAGTCTCCGTACGCGGCGGCCGGCCCTCCTCCGGGCCAGTTTTACCTACACGATCAGGCGGGGCAGCGTAGACAGTGGGGGCAACCCATGGCGCCCCCTGAAGACGTGTATCAGCAACATATGTCGCCCGGAAGAGCGCGATGGGGGCAGCCGGTTAGGTCAGTAGCTCTAGCGGTCGTCCTCAAGCGATTACCTGAGACATGGTAGTGACGTCCGTTGGATATATTTCGGTCGTTACAGGGAAGATGTTTCTCGCGTTCATCACGTGCTGTACGCGGCCTTTTTTTGCGGCTGGTTTGTTTTTAGGGCAAGGTTGGGAATTTGGCTGGTATGTGGCGTTTCTGACGCTCAACTTCTGCTCAGCTGTTTGGTAACCAAAATTATATCGAGTGGCCTAGTTCAGATATTTCTCGCGATAAATTCACTGTTATCTTGCGTAATGTTCTACGCCTAGTTTCAATATTTGCTACAGTCGCGCTACCTTTATTGCCATATCGTTAGATTCTGCTAAGAAGTAAGAGGGGTTTGTCTCGATAGCCTGCAGTGTGTTCAAGCTGCCGTCCGCAGTATCTTGTTGGCAGTAACACCGCACCGTGTCCTCCTCAGGCCGATGATGCCACCGATGCCTCAGCAGTACGGTCCGGGCCCGGGAGACCCGTATGGCTACCACCAGCAGCCGCCGCAGCAGAGGCCTTTCATGCTACACGATCAGAGCGGCCACCCGGCTGGCCATGGTGGCTACCCGGGCCCTGGAGGGTACCCGTCGCCGCAGCACCATAGGCTTGGTGAGTGAGCGGGCAGGGCTGGCGAGCAGTTGGTCAGAAGGGATGTGGAAAGTCCGTCTGAAAGGATGAAATAGGATGGTCAGAAGGGATAAGAGGGGAGTTATTATTGGGAGGGGACGGAATGGTAGCATTTTGAGGAAGTGAGTCAGCTTTGGTTTCGAAAGGGACGGAAGGTGAATTAGGTTGTGCTTTTGAACACATTATATGTGAGTGCGTTGCTGCTCAACTATTAGTTCTCTGTGTCTGAATCATGGTCAGCCACGTCCTTAATCGCCCTGTAACTCTGCCTCCCCCGTCTTCCCCCAGACGGCGGCATGATGGGTCCGCACGGTATGTCCGGCCAGCCGCCGGCCGGCTATCACCCTGACTACCCGGGCTACCCCGCGGCACCGGGCGGCCACTACTCGCCACACCAGCCGCCTGTCTCCTCTGCCGGCGGGTTCCGACTCCACGGCGCCTCGCCCGGCGGACCTCAGGAGCCCCGCGAGCTCCGCGCCGGCCAGTCGCCGAGAATGTATGGAGATTACCAACAGGGAAGAGCTGAGGATGCGGCTGATGGTCCTCGCGTGCCGACGGTGAGGCGGATGGATCGCAACAGACGCCGCTCGCCGTCACCGTCGGTGCTGCACGCGCCGCTGCCGGCGCCGCCGATTGATGACATGGCCCCGCAGAGTGTGTCGTTTATTGGCGACCAGGAGGATACCGAGTCGACCCCCGTCCGGCCGCCGCGGCGGACCGACCGCGCCGAGCGGGTCTCTGACCGGGGAGGAGGCATGGCGGCGGAGCCGGACCGGGCGGAGAAGGAGTCCTCTCCGGCGTCCGGTGGGAGGACCTACCGCGTGCCGCGAGCCACCCCAGAGCGCCGCGAGCCGGCCGCCTCGCCCGCCGGCCGGGGCACGTTCAAGATGCGCCGGACTCCGAGTCCGCAGAGAGAGCGGAGTCCGGCGGCGTCCAGTCCGGCCTGGGCGGCGCGCCGGGCCGGCAGTGAGTCCCCGGCGCGGCCGCCGCCCGCCCGGGAGGAGGAGAAGGAAGAAGACCAGGCGGCGCCCGAGGTGCTGGCAGCCATGAAGGTGGATAAGATCAAACAGGACGCCGACCCCGAGATGGGTAAGTTACTGTTATGCTACCTCCCCAACGGGCAGAGATGCGGGTTGGGTTAGGAAAGAAGCTTTTCAGAGAGGTTTTTAGTGCTGTTATTTATTAGAGGTGCAACATTGTTTTATCCGTGAGTAAATTGGGCTGTGGCATGATACGCATGGCGGCACACAACCAATTGGTTTTGAATAATGTAATTTTTGTTCATTTTTCACATCGTGAGATAGACCCTATCATTTTCCAATCATGACCATACTCAAATTGAAATCGGCATGTTTTGTCTTGTACCACTTCAGACCTTCGCCGATTTCGTGCATTTGTTTGATCAGCATGCGCTCTCCCGGCAGGCTTTGTGATATCGTTTGACGACGACGCGGCGCCGCGAAAGCCCAAGCCTCGCCTGGGCCAGCGCCGACCCCCGACTAAGGCGGCCAGCTCCGGTGGACTACTGGACCAACCGAGCCGGCCAGAAATACCGGTACGTCAGTTTCGGAGTCTGAGAACCACGGCTAATTGGCCTTACTCACTCCCTCGTTCTGGCGAGTTCATAGCTACTGAAGCGAGCTAAAAAAAAAACTGTCACTAAAGGAATGGAATGTCAGTTTTAACTCACGCCTGGAGAGGAACCCGGCTTTGTGTGATGTTTGCTTGTGTTGTGGTGCGGTGTACGGTGTGTAGCATGGAATCGTCCGATCGTGTGCTTGAAAAAAATAACTTAGTTCCGCGCTTACCGCAATTTTAGTTTTAATTGCTGAAGATGTTAAAGAGCTCTAGAAGTGTGGTCATGTTTGTTTTATTTTTTCACCGCCTTATTCACTGAGTTTTGTCCGCCCCGTTTCTAGCTCGTAGTGGACACCTAAGTTGCCCGTCACTGTGTGTTTTGCCCGACCCCGCCACTCGATGTTGTGTGACACGAGGCACCCGCCGCCTCCACATCTTCCCGCACCTCTCACACCTCTCTTCCATCGCTGTCGCCGCCTTGCAGCCCAAGCCCAAGACATCAGCATTCTCCGGGCTAAACAGCGGCGGCGGTAGCGGCGCACCCTCAGCCTTCTCTACGTACACCAAATGGCCGCGGACGGCACGGGGTCCCGAGAGGGAGCCCCCACAGCCGGAGCGGGAGCCGGAGCGTCCCCGCTCCCCCAGCAGGTCTCCGTCGCCCTCTCCCGGCGGGGGACTGTCGCTGGGGAGGCTCTCCGACCCGCGGCGGAGGACGGCCCCGGCCGAGCCGCAGTCGCCGGCCTCGCAGGATCAGGTGGACCGGGCGGCATCGCCCGAACGACCGCTCCTCGAGAAGGTAGAGCTGCTGGGCCGTGGAGTGGAGGGAGATGGAGTAAGCGACTGAATGGATGAATGAATGAATGATAATGAATGAATGAATGAATTACTGATGAAATAAATGAAAGATTACTTTAGATCATATTATATCACTCATGATGAATGAATGAATGACTGGATTAGTCAATGAAATAGCAAATTAATGAGTGAATGAGTGAGTCAAGGAATGAATGTGTAAGTGAGTGAGGGAGGAAGTAAGTGAGCTAGGGAGTGAAGCTGTTAGTAGTGCAGTGTTTGCTAGCCTTGACGCGTCCTGAAGTGTGCCTGCCACGTGTCCTTTTTGTTTCGTTTCCCTTTGTTGCGCATGTTGATGTGCGCTTGTGACCACTGCCAGCTCGTGTGTATGCTTATTCCACTGATAGAGACCGGGGGGGGGGGGGGGGGGGTCTTCCAAACCAAGGATAATGAAAACGATTGTCTGAAAGCTAGATTATGATTGATGACGAGAGAAATGAATGTGTCAATAATGCACTGTTAGTGGTGGTGGCACCCTCCCTTATCAGCAATGATGGAAGTTTGGTGGCCTTGTTTCGCATTTCTTCTTTGACTGGTGCTGGACCTCTACCCCTCCCCTCAGCTGGAGATTGACCCCACGCTGCCGCCGGAGATACTGACCTGCCCTCCCCTTCCCTCAGCTGGAGATTGACCCCACGCTGCCGCCGGAGATACTGACCTCCCCCTGCCCTCTCCGTTCCCCCAGCTGGAGATTGACCCCACGCTGCCGCCGGAGACGATGAAGCCCCTGAAACCGGTGCAGTCGTCCACTGGCGTCGGACTGGTCATCGGAGACGAGCTGGTCAGCCCCAAATCGGTCAGTAACCCCACCCCATCCCGACAAATCCAAACAAACAAACAAACAAACAAACAAAACAAAAACCGACAAAGCCACATTTCACAGGAATCAAATGTGAAACAACCGTATGACGTTGAAACTTTTCTCAAAACCGATAACTTTGCTTTGTTATAACGGTGTACCTGTGCACAAGTGTAGTGAGCTTGGATCATTGTGTTCGGGAGAACAATCCCTGAAGGCTGAAGTCATCATCACCTCACACAACCTTCCTTCTCAAACTGCATAGTCTTTCCACGTTATGATGGCAAAGCGGCAGTGTCATGACTATACATATGTAGACCTTTCAAAGTAGCCTGCGTCCCCTTCTCCCGGTACCCCATTCCATCGTTCTGACGCCGCTACCGTCATCTTCAGGACGCCCTGGACGAGATGGAACGGAAAAAGGAGCGCATCCTGATGCTGTCACTAAAGCGAAAACAGGAGCAGGAGGCAGCGCGAATCCGCAAGGAGGAGGAGGCACTACGGCGGAAAGAGGATGAAGCCAGAAAGGAGGAGGAGAAGCAGCGTAAAAAGGAAGAGGAGAAGGCGAGGAAGGAGAGGATCTTCGAGCAGTATAAGCTGAAAAAGGCTATCGAGGAGGCGGAAAAGAATGGGGTGAGTGACCTCAGACTGGTTGGGGGCGTGTGAGGTATCAAATGACTGTAAAGGTGTAGCGGTAAATTGCCTTCCTTTATGTTAAGTTTGTCGCAGCTGTTTGTGGATTGTGTGAAAGGGCTGCTGAGGTGTTAACGGCGAAGGGGCTAAGCGTTATGGCTCGACTAAAGCAGAGTACAACTGTCATCTTTCCCATAGTGTATATCAGAGTTGTGGACAATATTGAGATCGGCAATGGGGCAGCTTGAAGCTGGGAACGGTACGACCGTCCGTCTTAATTTTGTGCGACCTTTTGTGTAATTTTGTGGTGTAGTTTCTGACCGTCCGCCCGTCCCCTCTCCACCAGACGCCGATTCCTGCCGGCGCCCAGGCAGCTCTGGCGGCTCAGCAGGCCGCCTCCAAGCCCGCCGTCCGGCCGCGGCCCAAATCCACACCGAGCAAACCACGACCCAAGTCGATGATGGACGGGGGTGTGGGGAGCGGCCCCGGTACCCCCAGCCGCTCTGCACTCCGGGGAAGCCAGTCGAACCTGCAGCATATGTCAGGTGAGTGCAGGGGGTCTGTGGCCGCGGAAGGCTGCTCGGCGGGGTAGGTAGGTGCCTGATACGAGAGTCGGAACAGTACTGGTGAGTGGCGGTCGAGCTGTCCGGATAACAGCTGCGGGCGCATGACAGCTTCTAGACAGCCTGGAGGTAGCCTGAGTGAGGTCTTACGCTGTCTGCCCCGCTGTCTGCCTGTGATCGAGTCTGTCTCAGCTGTCTGCCTGCCAACTGGACCTTCTTCGCCCGCCCTGTTTGCCTGACGCTGTCTGTTCGTCTGTTGACTGCCTTCTGCGATCCTATGATAGGGCTTCAGGGGTCGAGACCCCTGTTTGTTTTTCTGTCTTTATTCGTTCTTGTTGGGTTACGTATAATATTCCTCGTAACAAGCGCATTTTGCTATACTTTGAATACATGGAAATATATAGGCAATAGGCACACAAGACATCGCTTTCTCAACAAATGTCCCGGATTGGGAGTTTTGTTCATTTTGTCTGTCCTTTCAAGGCTGAAACGTAGCTCTGTTGCGCGTAGAGCGTGGCTCGATTTTGCCAATTAATCATGAATATTTGTATGGCATTCCTCGGCTTCTCATTACCGCTGTTATGTGAAAACTTTGCCTGCTTCGAAAGTGTAGTTTTATGCAAATCACCTTTTTTGCACTACCTGCTGCTTTCCAAGCTGTCGCTGAGCGGTATCAACATATCCGCGAGCACACGATTTTTGCCCAACACGGAGCAAGCTTCGTTTCAGCCTTGGCTTTGCCGTAGACCTAACTCTGCCCGGACTCCCGTCTAACTTCCCAGCGGGCCTAACCTAACCCATTAGGCTTGACGTAACCTCTCCCCGTGGGTCTAACCTAACCCTCTCCCTCGGCCTGACCCCTCCCCGGCTCGCTGCCGCGCTAACCGCCTGTGGCCGCTCTAACCTGGCGTGTCTGTCCGCGAAGAGCGCCCTCCGCCGGCGCCGGCCGCGCCTCCGCCGGCGGCGTCGGCCGGTGCCTCTACCCTGGTGCGTCACCGCAGTCTGAGCCGGCGGCGACGCTCCAACATTGCCGTGTCGGCCGGCCGCTCGCAGTCGCTGAGCAGGCGCCGGATCCAGACGCCCGAACAGCTCATGTACCCCGGTAGGTGGTGCACGGTGTCTTGAGCTCACCGCTGGCTCACGGCGCGGCTAGCCCAGTCGGCTCGGCTGGGGCTAGTGTAGAGCACCGGACGCTCCGCCAAGCCGGATCTGAGACGCCCGGCGCGCACCGCTGCTCGGGGTTTGTGGTGGCACCGTATTGGCTAGTCCACACTCGGTTCACAGATTGCACCTAACCCACGCGCCGCGCGACGTCAGCACTGTCCTACTAATCATGGCGGGTGGGCCACCGCCGCGGCTTATAGCCATTAGCCACGCCACACACCGCTGAGGTATAAATGATAAATAATCTGGTAACAGGAACATAAATCATGAACCTAACTGGCTTGGGCTGATCGCGGACCAGCAATCCCGTCCCAGCAGACTACGGCATCCGCCCGGCCCTATTGCGGAAGCCAAACTGGTCTGCCTGCTCACTCGGTCTAGACAGTCTGGTTCAGGCGTAGCCTGTTAGCTTGGGGTTCGAATGCTCAGCCTTTTCCTGCTCGCTTATCTTCCACTGCTGCTGCTGCTACTGCCACTGCTGTTGCTGCTAGAATCAGCAGTTTTCCACCGCCGTCGCGGCTGCTGCTTTTGACGCACATACAGCTTGTTTTGCTAGTGGATCAACTTTTCAGAGCTCTGCTGTGTGCTCATGGCTGAATGAGAAACTGACACGCTCCCCCGGCTCCCAGCACTGCCCACTTCTTGGTGAAGGTTCTATCCTCCCCTCACTCCCCCTCCGTGATCGCCTTTCACTTGCCAAGTCTGCTGTCTCTGGATACAATCATGGGTTATTTGGTTTTCGTGGCTCCAATGATCTGAGAGTATGTGGCTTCGTGGCTCGTTGGCTCTCTCCCTTCCTCAGTTTTCAGGCTGTCATATTTCACGGTGAACGCACGCCGTGCTTTATTTCGCTGCTGCTGTTACTGCTGTGTAGTTTAGTGCATGTGTTATGTGCAATGTGCATGAATGTGCGTTCAATGTCACTGATTTATGATGTTTTATTCAGCATATTGTTGTTCCGATTTTGTCTGTTTATCACTGATTTTATCTCATTTCGCTGCGCCACTTTGCCGTTCTGTTTCGCCGCGTTGCGTTTTGGTTTACCACGCGTTACCGCTGTGCTGTTGCGGGCGCCGCGGCTGCCCGCCTTTCTGCCTGTTGCTATGAGTGTCTCGCCTGTCGCTGTGGCTGAGTGTCTCGCCTGGCTCCCTGCCTGAACACCCGGCCTGTGGCCGCGCCTGTGTGTGTGCTTGCTACAGACAAGGGCCGGGAAGGCGGCGACTCGCAGTGGGGCTCCAACTCGAGTCTGACGGCCGGCCCGCGCTCCCGGCGAGGCTCCAACGCTAGTCTTTATGGAGGTGAGTGTTCCTGTCCTGGTCCCGCCCGACCTGACCTGACCTGACCTGACCTGACCTGACCTGATCTGATCTGATCTGATCTGACCTGACCTGATTCCGTCCATGCCCGACCTAGCCTGATTCACGCCTCTTCTGTCGGCAATGTGTCTATGGGTGGACACGGAGTCGGTGGGGTTTCCATTTTCCACCGTCTCAGGGACTCCCGTGTCTCACTAATGTCTCATGGCACGCTCTGGGCTGTGCCTCACGCCGCTCCGGCTGCCTCACCGCTGCCTGTCTCGGTCTGGGTGTTACGTCTCGTCTGTCTCGCGACTCGGTTTGAGTTGTCTCACTGCTGGCTGTACTGTTACTGGTCCGGGTGCCTCTCACTCACTCGCTCACCCACTCTCTCACTCTGTGTAATGTCTCACCATGCACTGCCTCTCACCGGTCGTGTTTGTATGTCTGTCTGCAATCTGACGCGACACACCTGTCTGTCTTCCCGCTCGGCTGGTCTACAGAGTCACGATACGCCCGGTCAACGCCAGTGCATTCGGGCAGGAAGGTGGTAGCCTCCAACGGTAGGTAACAAGGACCTGCCATAGGCCGTTCAGTTTCTCTCACTCAATCTCTATCGCTATGTCTGTTGAATGGTCGGCGGTTCACCCGGTGGGCCGCCGCGCCTATCAGTGTCAGTAGTTGCACCGTGCCTGTCGCCGGGTAGATGCATCGCTCTGTGCCCCGCACGGGCACGAAATGCCTGTATCTCGAACGCAACGCTGTTGTCCCAGCCAACGCCGATACCGGCCGACGAAACGTGTTAACCCTTGCACGACCAGGCCATTTCTCATAACACAAACGACCAGGGGGGGGGGGGTTGTTACGACCCCCCCCCCCCTGGCGTTTCGAAACGGAAGGTCGTAGAGCTTAGCGGAAAAACCAACGGATTGCTCTCAACGAGATCTCGCGATTGGTGGTATATTTTTTTGGTCCTAGGTCAACTTTTGACCTACTTATGACCGGTCAAAGGTCAAATTTTCCGAGAAAAAAAATCAAACTTTTTCAACTTTCCGCGGCGATTGCGGCAAAACGGTGGGAGATATCGACTTGAAACCTTCACTATCGTGTTCCTTGATCAATTCTCTATCGTTTGGTATGTATTTCGTTTCCCTGGCTCTAAAAATGGCGCGTTGGGAGCGCCGGAAGTCGGCAAGGTCACAGTCGGCGGCAGAAATTCGAAAAATCAAAATTTAAATTTTTGAAATCTGATTGTATTTTTGGATTTGGGAGGTCCATTTGCTCCCTATAGAAGCTAATATTGCTGCATATTCCCATTGAGGTAACAAGAATTAGCAAAATAGTGGTTCGGGCGCTTTTCAAAAATAGTACCGGACGCTGTTCCCCTTGTGACGTCATAGCTCCGTGACCTGACCTGACCCGGTCAATTTTCTTGCACCACACGATAGCCAATGCTTGCCCCAACATGCATGGGAAGTTTCATCATGATCCATCAAACAATGTGGGTATCACCGGCAGAAAACCTAGGGATTCGGCGCACACGTTTGGTAACTGTCGGCCGGAGGCTGTACCTCTTATGACGTCATAACTCCGTGACCTGACATGACCCGATCAATTTTTTTCGGCAAAAGATGCGCAAAGGTTGCCCCAGAGGGTATTGAAAATTTCAGCCCGCTACGACAAGCCGTTTAGCGTGCACTTCGAAAAAACCTCAGGGGGGGGGGGTTGATACAACCCCCCCCCCCCCCCTAGGCGTTCTAGGGTTAACACTGTTGTTTGGCATGCGTTTGGTGCTAACTAATAGCGACTCTTGCTTTCATTCTTTTCTTTTGCGTTATTGTAAAACCTTTCGTCTGGCCTAGAATTTCAATTTTTTAGATATATTACATTACCGCTGGCAAAGTACCGTAAAGAAACGCAACGTTTCTTCCGTACCGGTGTCTGCGTTGGCTGGGCCTGGGGGCTCTCGTAGCGTGCATTGGTGGCGCTATGGGCGGCCGCCGCACGTAGCTGTAGTTGCTGCGGCGGCCGCGGGGCGTCGCTGCCTGCTTCACCGGCACTGCGCACTGCAGAGCCGTCGGGCGCCGGCGGCATGCGAAAGGACGGTCACCGCACGTCGACTGGCAGCCTGAGCTCGGCGGGCCGGGCCCGCTCCCGAATGGGCCCCCGCGCCGGCAGCAGTGGATCCCTGATCGACGACGGTGAGTGGACGCTAGAAGGGGACTGAAACGATGCTTAATTGAGGGACTCGACAGAATGAATGCAAAGAAATAAGCTCAGTGGTTCAGAAATTGAATATGACCAGTGCGATCGTGGGTAAACTGGAAACCCAGAGAGGCTCGATTAGTTGGGGATTTTACTGCTACCGGACCGCGACTGGAAAAGAAGATGTAGCAGCTGACAGTTTCTGTTGAGGCAACAGGGTTGACTCAGTCTTCTTAGAATTTCTGGGATTTTTAATTTTCCTGGCAATAATTTAACACTAAGTTTAACAGCTCAAATTTGGGGCCACCTGTTTGGCTATTCTTTCTAGGCATGCAGTTACTATACTGACATTTTCACATTAATCTAACCAAGAAGGAGCATCCCGAAAAGCTCATTCAGAGCGATACGTCTGATTCGTTGACAGCATGTCTCTCTATGTAGTTTGGGTGGTCGGCACTGTCCCGACCTCTGTTTATTTCACCGGTTAGTGCCGGCACTGCCGCGGCCGCTTACAGCATGTCAACGCACGGCACTGGGGCTGTCACTACAGGGTGGGGCAGCATAATCGGGAATAAATATCAAACGGGATTATTTGGTCATGAATTTAAAAATACAGCTCCAAGCACTATTTTAGCAACATCCCATCAATTGGTCACCTTTTACCTATTTCTCATCCTATGTGACCGCCCTCGGCGTCGATGACCTTCTCAAGGCGGGTCCAAAAGCACGCGCATGCACGTGCAACCTCCTGCTTGTCCATGATCGCCCATCAGCATCGTACCTTGCACTGAAGACCGTCTTTACTGATGATAAGTTGTTCATTAACCTTCTACCAAAAAACGCTCCATGTAAAGAATTTGGTCGGATTTAAATCGGCGGAGTTGAAGGACCAGAAGTTTTTGGTTCATCTCAGGTGGAGGTGCCCTACACAATAACATGTCGTCCTCACTGCAGTACCAGCACAGACAGAGTCCTCGTAAGACGTGATCTGGACCGTCAGTGATCCTCTGTTCCGACGGCTCCACATGAGTCTGCCACAGTGCGGATGTATTTACCAGAGGTGCTCATTTTATCTGGGCTCGATGAAGTAGGGTGCACCACGTGCACCTCCCTTGAAGACCACCCATAGGTCCATCACCCCAACAGGATGTTTACTTTGCATGACCGCTGGAATATTCTCGATACAATCCCCTATATGGCTTGCCATTCTTTTTTGTCGTATTCCAGTCGGTGGTGAGATTTTTGGTCGCTGAAGTTTTGAGCATTGTTTCTTTTTAATATGCTCAAGAGCGTCTTCCTTATATTCAAGTGAGTCATCTGTATGTCCTCTGCTAAGAGTTATTTTACGACGATTACGTTAACCTTTTGTCCTAAGTATTCCCACACAATCCTTATTGTCCGTGATAACACGTTGACCTGTCCAGCAACCTTTACGTGGAATTGCAGGGGTTTCAACAAAATGTTCTTGTTTTACTCGTTTAACATTAGTGTCTATGGGCGCGCGCAAAGCACTTGGAGCACCGTCGAACTATTTTGCTGCTCTTTTCCAGGAGGTTGCATGCTCATGGATGTAGTCATGTTAGATGATGCACAACTTTTGGGCGTTTCATTGCCATGCTATAATTTATCAAAATAATGTCATGCCTACTCATGATTAGAGCCCAAAAAGCATTCCCGATTATGCTGCCCCACCCTGTACCTGACCTATGACCTCACCTAGGGTCACTCAGGTGTTGACGCTGACCACTCGATCCAATCCTCCGTTATCCTTCCTTATGCCCGTACTCGTGCCAAGTCCCCATTTGAACCCCATGCACAGCCCGTTGATGTGTTTTAGCGCTATTTCGATCGAGCACCGTTCTGATTCAGTTTTGTTTGTTTACTATAATTATTACCGTTTCATGTTCATTTAGCCGTCACTCTGCGTTCAGTTGGAATGGGCCGCCTGGCCGTCGCTGTGTATGTGTGTCTGTTAGCACGCCGTCTGACTGTAGCTCTGTGTGGTGTAGATGCCGGGTATCGGAGGACGGCCTTCGCGCACTCGGGCAGGAGACAGTCAGGTGAGCTCCCCGGAGCAATGGACGCTCCATCTCTGCTCCCTCGCCCCCAAACTCTTCCCCGCTCCGGTCCGCTTTCTTACAGTACGAGAGTAAAAGACTGTCCGAAGATTCTCTTTCACTGGGCAACGTAAATGTGTTTGCTAAAGGTATTTGGATATTGGATAATGTTGTAATGTTTTGTGATCAACTAGCGTCGTGAAGTCATTTGCCATGAGGCAACATTTACGAATATTGTAATGTAATGAAACGTTCTCCCATCGGCCAATACCTATCAATAATGTACCCGATATAACGGTACTGTAGCCCAGTGCCCCCCCCCCCCTGACACGCCTATACCTGTGTCTTGCCGCCCGTGTCCCCTCCCCACTGACCGGGGTCACGGGAACGCACCGAACAGCCGCCGACCGTCCAGACGTCAACAGAACCTTCTCAAAGGCGTCGGGCGCCGGGCCGGGAGCCGGCGGCCGGGGCAGACATCAGTCCCTCACCAATCTGTTCGGTGAGCCGACCGACCGACCGGGCGTGGTCTGCTCGCCTGCCTGCCTGGCTGACTGCTGGCTGACTAGATGACTAGCCGGCTGACTAGTGCTGACTAGCGGGCGATGGTGTGGTGCCTGCGCTCGGTTTGGTCTGGTCTACGTCCGTCCTTGTCTGTCGGAGGCTGGCGTCTTAAACGGGACAGGAATGGGAATGAGAGATGAACAGGCGTACAGCTACGCAGCCACGGTAATGATTAATTCAGAAGCTTCCATTTTCGCATAATGACACAGCCTGATTCATGAGCAGTCATTAATTTCATGACTACAATCCCGAGTGTTTGAGCACCGGCAAATAATTGGACTAAATTGAGTGTTCCATCATGTCGATAGGCTTGATCCGCCCGTGGCTGTGTAGCTCATGTTTATTTCTCTTCCCTTGGACCGCGCGTTGTGGCGTCTATAACTTTAATCTCTCTCGCGGGTCGAATCTCGGTAATCCGTGGAATGTCATCAGCTGTCGCTCGCTTGATACTTTGGCATGTCTTGGTAACATGTAACGTCTATGAACTCATCGGTGACCTGAACTGACCCTAACCGGCTTCAGAGCGAACGATAGCGCGTCTGGTGGTAGCGTTAGCGCGAGCGTAACCTAGTGAAGTGTAATGGTTGCTAGGCGTTAGTTTATAGCTGCTTGGCGTAACTGGATTGTTTAGCGCGTTACTTCCTCGTCCTTTGGGTAATTGTGTCGTCTGTGTACTAACCTCTAGATGCCTGTTAACCTAGATGGGGCTCAGCTTCTCCTTTTAACTTGTTAATATCTAGCATTTTCTGGTTGGTGCTTGTCTGGCTAATTGTTATGCGCGTGCAATTAGATGGCGATTAGTCTGCATTGTGTACGCTGTTTCCGTTGTGCTATTTTAATGTTTTGTGTTCACTTATATCTAGATTGATGTAAGAAATACTGTTTAGACGCTGCTCTTCGATCTGGTGATTATCGTAATCAATTTTCATATTATCTACGCAGCAGTAGGACGCCTTATTTGTTCGCCTTTTTGTGTTTTTAGCTGGCAGGTAAATTGTATGTTTGTAACTTGTTCTATGTCTGCAGCTGCTACATTGCGCAAATGCCACACTGTCTTGAAGTGTATCCTCGTTATTGCGACCTTCGCTCATCGATATTTGTTCATATTCGATTTATAGACCTCTAGATCACATCTACGACTACGATTCATTGCATTTTGTTTCGCTCGTTCAGTACGTGCGGTAGTTTTTCATTAAAATCGGCTTGTCAATGCTGCAGTGCAACACTTTGTAAGTTGCCGTCAGTCTAGCCGCGAATTCTAGAGCTACTGCTAAACTACGTGTAGGATGCGCGACGCGGGGACGAAACGCATTGCTGTGATCGTGCCAAGTCAATTGCGGCTTTGAGACCATTCAGCGTGTATCGATCTTTTGTCATATGTGCCGACTCGCCATTATTTATAACATGGTTTTTTTTGGAGCCCCGTCTTCAACATGTTGTGTGTCTATCCCCAAAGCATTCCAGTTGCCTTCAGTGTGAAAGGAACCGAGTTGGTTCATTATGTGATTGTCTGATTATGGTTGTCTGACGTTGTGTGCCTGTGTGCTCGACAGGTACCTCGGGCGGTACTCCCCGCGGGTACTCCGAGACGGACTCGGGCCTGGGCCGAGACACGCCGACACGGCGCGGAGTGTCGCCGGGAGGTGAGTGAAGAGTGCAGACATAGGATGTTGGTAGAGACACTGGTCCTTAGTGTTGGGTGGGGCAGACACTGAATTTGTGTTCGATTTCGGAACAGACTGGCTACTGGCTTATGCTTGTGTCGGGACGGGCACTACGGCCTGGTCCTAGCCAATGCAGATATTGGTATATCCACCTGCCTTTCGTCTCCACATATCACCACCTGTCAACCGACCCGTGTTTCCCGACCGTCTCCTTGTCTCCGCGCATGATGGTGTGACGTCTCCGCTCGTGTCCAGTATCTGTCTCCTGTCTCTATGTGTCTACTAGTCTCTTGTATCGTTTGTCTCTACTTCATATCTTCGTCAGTCAACTGACCCATATTTCCTCCTCCAGCGTACGTCAAAATGATATGTCCGTCTGTCAATTGTTTTCACATATCCCCTTCAATTGACCCCGCGTCTCCCGTCCGTCCCCTGTGTGTCTGCAGCGTATGGCGGTATGACATCTCCGTCTGGTCCAGGCTCGCTGCCGCCCGGACTGGTGTCTCGCAGAAGAAACTACGGAGACGACGGAGCCAGCGACACCTCATCCATGGCTAGCTACGACTATAACGGTGAGTGTGACCGCAGTAAGGCGACAGAGCGGCTAATCGGGCTGGGATGGTCGAGTAGTTTGAGGGCGTTAGAGGGTCAGCGACTCAGCAAGTCTGGCTAGGATGCTCGAGATAGTTTGGGGCATTGGTTAGACTGGTAGGAATGGAGGTGTGGGAGGCTGGTATGTTCGAGCGCTGAGTCGTATGTCGAAGCTTCAAGCGTGTGGGCACATTTCCTGCAGACGTATGAGCGAGTGGTAGATGCTGGTACTTACATAATTTTTCTAAAGGGGGTGGGAGTTGTCATGAGATGTACACCGTAGCACTGCTTTACCCATCACCTTCGCTTATTTCGGTCGTTTACATTCTTTAAAATGTATCCGCCCTTCATAGACCGATCACTGGGACTGATCACTGTCATGCGCCCTCCATCAGCGACTGACCGCCCCCCCCCCCCCCGTCCACCAGGTCCCCGCCTGTTCAAACAAGCGTCAGCCAAGTCGAACCGCTCGATCCTGCTGAACGCCGTCGAGTACTGCGTTTTCCCGGGAGCGGTGAACCGGGAGGCCAAACAGCGCGTGCTCGAGGAGATTGCCCGTGTGGAGGCGCGTCACTTCCTGATTCTGTTCAGGGACGCCCGCTGTCAGTTCCGCGCGCTCTACTGGTAGGTGTGACGACCGCGCGGCCGCCAAGGGTTGCTGGAAGAGGATTTGGTGTAGTTAACTTGGTTTTAGCTGCTAGAGTAAGCTTCGAACTTCCATCCGATATTGCTGGAGCTTCATTTGTTTTTCGAGTGCTAGGGGTCATAGGGGTACTGAGTCTCTGGTGGGAATATTAAAAATGGATTGACATTCCATCATTCTATCAAGTATTAGCAGAACAAGCCTGCTATTTAGCTACTCTTCGACGAGATTATGCCCAGTGTTTTATGACGGACTGGCCGAAAGAGCTCCGTTTTGTCTGTTACGTGTAAGATCATTGTACTCGCTAGTGCCCCGGTATGACGACTCGCGCTCTTTTACAGCTACGAGCCAGAGACTGAGGAAGTGTTCAAACTGTACGGCACCGGACCCAAGATGGCCACCGACAAAATGTTCGACAAGTTCTTCAAGTAAGTGTAGGAATTATCGATCGAAGTTACTGGCGTCGGGGTGAATAGCTTTCGTAGCAGGGTTATAATGGGCACTGACTTTGGTCACTGACATTGCCAATGAGCTGCTTCAGACATTGTTTATTTTTAATTGTTAATATGCTGAGTGTGCCTCAGTGTTGGCCAGTAGCCAGCGTCTTCTCATTGAGCTGTTTGTCGTGTACTTTCGCCTCTCGGCGCTAACACCGTACCTTTCTCCTTGCCGCAGATACAACTCTGGCGGCAAGAGTTTCACGCAGATCCACACCAAGCACCTGTCGGTGACCATTGACGCGTTCACCATCCACGACGCCCTGTGGCAGGGCAAGCGGCCCAGCCTGCCCAGCAAAAAGGACATGACTCTGGTGACGTAACGCGGCGGGACAGAGCAGAGAGAGAGGGCCGGAGCGGGCGGTCCGCCTCACATTCCTCTCGCTCGCGGCCGGCACCCCTCTCCCCCTCATGGGTGCTGAACGGCCGATAGAGGCGCGCGGAAACACAGAGACAGAGAGAGGGAAGGATGCATAGACGACCGGTGGCGAATGTGATAGACAGCGAGCGGGCGCCGGCCACTAATACTCGTGCTGCCATCTATCGGCGCGGCGAGAAGCTCTAGTTGCGGGCGGCGGCGCCGCTTTTACTGTGGGATCGGCGGCGCACCTGTGGTAGGCGCGCGGCTCGTGCCAGGACTAATCGTGATAAAAACTGCTGCTTGCTCGTGTGATGCATCGCGCGCGTGAGCCTGTATGTGTGTCTGAGCACGTGACTTGTGAGCAGGTGTGTGCTGCTAGCGGCAGAATTATGAGAAACGCATAAGAACTAATTTGCGAACGCCGGGTCTTGTACATAAAGGCTTGACTAATGTCTTCTTATGCATTCTTTTTTATTGCGTTTTGTTTCGTACATTAGCTGTTTTATCGTCATTTATTCCAAAGCTGCGAAGGCTTACTGTAAAATATTAACGTGGAAGTGCAGGTGTCAACTAAATGTTGCTTTCCCAATCCCTAATAAATGACTGACTGAATCGTGCCGCGTCTGTGGACAGTGGAATGATCGGCTGAGGTCGAGGGGAAAATCGTCAATCTCATGGAGAAGACTCATGGAAAATAAGCTGTCGATGAACTTTATCAAAATCAGAATTTTAATGAGAACTGCTTTCAGACGCAGGCCAACATCTCTCGTTGCTTGGGTGCAACGTCGTTTTGTTTTTTTATCACAAAACGATCCATGATTATATTGGATTATATAAGCGTTAGGGGGTTTGAAAAGAAAAAATATGGCTAATTTTATTGCTTCTTTTCGTTACCTGTGTCATTGCTAGTTGTGTTACTCCGCAAATGTTGTATTGCGTGTAGTCTTGGAGCTTATTGCATTGCATTCCTCTTCGCTCTTTGGTGTATCGCTCTAGCTGTCTATCAGTCCTCAACCAGACTCGACCCTTCAAACACATCACCAGTCGATAAAAGTCTGACAGTTTCTATTTGACATATAATTACGTACATATATTGTTGCACATTATTCCCCGTGAGCGGCCTGCGGCGGTACAAAGTGCGTCACTCCGCCGTGCCAGCCCCAGGGGATGGTTCGGCCCCCTCCTCGCCGCTCTGAGCAGGCCGGGACGGGCGGGCGGGACGGATTGGATGGCCACACACTGACACCGAGCTATACGGAGCATATAGCGCGGTCAGCAGGCCACGGACGCTGCGCCCCACAATCCGACATTGTTTGCAAACTAAAACGTCACGCGACGCAAGCGAAACAAAACGAATGGCAAAATGGCGACAGCGGCGACGCGAGCGTCGCTTCCCGCACCGGTTTGATGACCCCCCCCCCCCCCCCCGACCCTAACCGCCCCGGGAGGGAAGAAACTCTGGAATGACTTCACTCGTTTACACCAGGTAGGTCCTACTCCTGGCCACGGCTCGCTGGGTCGGCTCCCTGAACGGCGAGCTGTCTGGACTGGTTGGGTACCGACTGAGAGAGCGCAGCAATGCGTGCCGCTGTTTTAGTGTGTCAGCGAGATGTCGCACGCGCTCCTGACGCCGCTGCGCCTCCTCTGCCTGCGCCTGTTCGATTTTCGCCTCGACGATCTGCCGCTGTCGGCGCAGTCGCTCGATTTTGTGCTCGAGGCTCTCTCTGCCGGCGGTGACGGCCGATCGGACGGGACTGCAGGCGGCTGGGGATTCCCCGCCCCACCCGGAACAGCTCAGGGAGGAGCGCGGTCGGACCACGTCCGCCGGCTGCCGGGACTGGGGCGAGCGGAGCCGACTGGCCGGGCTGCCGGCGAGCGCCTTCCTCCGCAGCGGCTCACTGGACGGACAGAAGGAGCGAGGGAGCAGACCGCCGCGTACTGGCCGTCTCAGCGGCGCGGCAGAGCCCTCTGGCGGCCACTCGCTGCCACAGATGGCGCTCGCGTCGGACACGGTCGGCGGAGGGCTGCAGTCGGGCTCTGAGCGGCGCCGGACGCCACGCCGCCGGTCTCGCACGCTGCGCCGTCTCTCCTGGTGGTGCCGCCGGCCGCGCGAGGAGCGTTTGGCCGGAGATCGGCGCGCTCCCTCCTCTGTCGAATCGTCCTCATCCTCGTCATCAGTGGCGTCCTCACTGTAGGTATCCGGCGGGGGCTCGTCCTCAGAGGAGCGATGCCACGAACCGAGCGAGTCGTACGTACTGTCCGGTCGACGCTCAGCGGCGAGGGTGCCCCCGCTCGACACTTCACTCACATACGAGCTGCGACCGCTCGAGTACGATCGCTGGAAGTCAGCACGCCGTGAGCTGCTTGTATCCATTGAACAGTCGAGTCCTGATGTGTCGGAGGCTGAGGGAGGGCAGCGGCTGCCTCCTGCCGCCAGCCACGGGTTGGTTTTTATCTTGGGTCTCTCTCGCGGTGAGTAGCAGAGGTCTCCCATCTCGGCCAGATTGGCGTACTCGGTACGGGCGCTGATGACCGGTGGACTGGCAGGCGGGTGAGTTGTTAGAGGACTGCACACAGCTCCACGAGGCTCCCCGTGAGGCCTCAGTCGAGGGCTGCCCGCCGCTCCGGATGGAGCTGCTAGGAGACTATGAGGTCCTCCACTCGCGCTGACCGTTGTCAGGCCACTGCCGACGCCTCGGCTGGATATAGATCCACCGGAGGACGGTCGAGGTGTGCGAGGACTGTCCGCACCAGCTCGCGCCAGATGAGGACTACCAGAGGACAGGCGACTCTCGGCTGAGTCCTCAGGGAGGTTCCTCAGAGGACGAAAATCACGGTTCTGCAGGAGGAAGTATTTCCCAGACGAAGGCGTCGCCGGTGTGAGGGGAGTCGCCGGTGTCAGCGGCGTAGCAGAGTCCTCCCCAGTGAAGTATGCCGACTCGGGACTCGAGAAGGACGGTAGAGAGTCGGGAGTGAGCGCCCCTCGTCCCAGCGCCCCACCGCTCACCACTAACACAGGTCCGGTGACGGGGCAGTCGGACCGTCCGGGCCGCCGCCGGCCGCGGCCCAGCCGCGCCTCCACCCAGTTTCTGATCCGCGTGGTGAACTTGGGACTCATGTTGGTCCCGTTCATGATCCGACTGGCCGGCGCTGGGTGGAGACGGTAGGTGACGCTGGTGGCGTCTCAGAAGCTGGTGCAGTCAGTCAGCTGCGACCCGCCTGTGGAAGAGAGGGAAATGAGCGTCAAAAATGTGGGAGTGAATGCTGTGGTATCGGCTTGGATGGTGGATACCGCATCTGCCACGGGAATATTTCACACGGAAGTGGAAAGGCATTCAAACATCTGGGAATGAATTGGATGTGGTTTTGCGGGATTCAGTGGGATTGAAAGACGCCTACTTTCGACAGTCCCCTGAGACGTAAATGCAGGGATTGTAGCGGTAACCAAAGATGAACATCACTACACAGCAATCACCAACGTTCCTTGGCACTGCAACCGATAAGGTTCCAACATACACAATGCTCAGGTCAGGACCACAAACAAGATCACGTGATCGAAATCATCTAACATCAACACACGGTCAGCCTTTTAAACCAGTTATGGGGAACCAGCCCAACCCTTTCCCATAACCATCCAGCACACAATGCACGCCATAACTCCGCTCTTGTTTACCAGAGAGCAACTTTTGTCGGACAGCAGCATATCGCGTGACTGGCCCGGTCCCAGCCGAGCCGAGCACGGCCAAAATCGGTCCGCCCGCGCCGCCCGATTGGTGCCGCCCGCGACTGTCTGCTGACAATGCGGAGTGATGACGCTCGGTTCCGGCGATAGTGTCGTATGGGGCAGTGGATGGGACAGGCGGTGGCCATTGAGGAACTGGGGGCGTCATGACTGGTCGAGGGCGGCGGCGTGTCGGCGTGTGCCGTGTGGTGACGGGAGGGCGATAGATCACGCTATGCCGAACGTAGTCTGTCGGTCTGAGGATCGGTCTGAGAATCAATCGGTCTGATATCGGTGACGAGAAACGGGGCATCCATGTGGCATAAATGCCGATGATTGTTGCTCTACAGTTAGGGACTGTCGTGGTCCCCGCTTCGGCTCCCTCTTAGCATTGCTCAGTCAAATGATAATATAAATACCTAAATTGTCCCGTTTAATCCTCGTAAGCCAAGACAACGTTCCAATGCACTGGACAATGTTCCTCCGAGAGTTTCTTTGCACTGGACACCGCGGTGGCTGCAGAAGTTTTTGTTCAATTGCATGATGCAAAACTTATTTGTCCGCATTTAGGAGAAAATATATTATTTTTGGTCCGGTTAAATGTTAACACTAGAATGCCCTTTATACACACAGAAAAATATTAACACCGTTAGCGGTGTAATTGCACAGTACATATCTGAGCACTTGAGGAAAGTTAATTTAGTCCCTTCCCCGCTTAAATTACTCGCGCTTCTAAATGAACACCAGGAAGAAGGTAATAGAACACTGTTAGGAGGGTTGGGTGTTTTGCTACATGTAGTAAAACACCCAACCCTCCTAACAGTGTTCTATTACCTTCTTCCTGTTGTTCATTTAGAAGCGTGAGTAATTTAATTTTTTTAAGTAATTTTTTTGCTACATGTAGTAAAACACCCAACCCTCCTAACAGTGTTCTATTACCTTCTTCCTGGTGTTCATTTAGAAGCGCGAGTAATTTAAGCGGGGAAGGGACTAAATTAACTTTCCTCAAGTGCTCAGATATGTACTGTGCAATTACACCGCTAACGGTGTCAATATTTTCTGTGTGTATCGTCGCTGCGGTGCGAGTCTAAACCACTTCGCAGACACATTCATCAGCCGTGCGCGATTCCCTATTCTGCAGTATTCGCACGTACAGGTGCGAAGGTCAGACGCAGCAGGGGTGTCGGCGGGGAGCAAATCCACCGAACACATCCATTTTATTCTCCTGGAAACCGAGCAAGGTCACCGCCGGTGTAAAAAGCACCGCGGCGCCTCCAAACTAGGTCAGAGGTGTATCAAGTTTGACCGTCCCGCCCGGACCCGGTGCACAGAGCATCCCTGCAAGACATGGCTCACCTCTGATCGGTGCTGAAGGTCTCGTTATTCGTGCTCGTTTGCAGGTTCTGATATGTCCGGTGTAGGGGAGAGGGTCTGGGAGACAGAGGGGAAGAGTCTGAGAGACAGAGGGAGGGGAGGAAGTCAGAGAGGGTCCCGGAGTGTCAAGGTGGTTTGGGTAGGTCAGACTCGTAAAACCAGCAGCGCTGCAAACAGTAGGGGTTGGGATTAGGTAATTAACGGTCGTTAGTTACCTTGTTTATCTCCCCTTGCTCTCCCTCTTCCTCGCTAATTTATCATATCTGCTTCACTTCTGCAGCCTTGCTCTGGCCTCCGCTGATGTATTTATTTGGCAGCCTGTACGACGGGCCAACTGGCCAGCATAAAAGTCACCGTCATCTAACCTAACCCGTGGAGCAATGCTTGTCTATCACAGCCCCAACTCCCATCCCTCTCCCTCCACTCTACCGTGCTCCTCCTCCACTCTACCCTGCTCTGATAAATCTCTGCTCGGAGCTGCGTAGTCTCATAAATTGCGGCTCAGTGGCCTCTCAGAGCTGATATATTTCATGCTTTCCCGGCGCCGTACCCACAACGTTCACCGGTCTCCCGGAAAAAGGCCAAGCTCATGGGATAGACCCCAGCCGTGCCTGAACCATAGAGATCGGATGAAAGAAAAGTGGATAATAATTTGTCAAGGACCGTTTTTCGCTTTGCTTTGTAGAAAGATGAAGCGCGTTGCGATAGGCGTTATCACAAGTGTATTCGCGGCCATTGGGGCGACATAAGAAAAGAAGATACCAACTGGCCCCAAGAACTTTAAATTATCAGTTAGCATGCATTTTTTCCTTGATGTGTAGAAAATTTACCATTATTTGTTACAGAAAATTGCATTTAAAATCTTCCATTTATGCTTTTTTCATCGTTTGCACAATATGTTCTTTTACTAAGCTAGAAACACTAATTAGAAATAGTTCCCGCATCATCAAGAACAATAGGGAAGGCTTGAAGTGAATAAAATAATTTAAACGGTTTTGTAATCTATGTGAAGGCACTTCTAAAATTGCCTGTAGAAATATTGAAGGCAAAAGTTCAACTTTTTCACAAGACGGATGTCTATAAACCTATTTAACTTGTGACAACTCAGCCGGTATTTCGTCGCCTACAGCCCAGCTTTCCCTAGTGACCGATAGAGGCGCTGCTATCGATGTCCGCCCGTGCCGCCTAACGGGTTTAGATCTCTCGGGTGCCGATAGTTCACTGACGTCGGAACTTTTAAGTCTCATGGCATGCAACAAAAGTCGCCCAACAGCGCTCGCAATTGACGAGCGCCGAGCGCGTGCAAACAAAAGCAATAGGCATAGGTATCATATTTTCATGGAAGCATAAAGCAACTGATTAAAAAGATAGCTTTCAGACTTCAATAAGAATCATTCAAAAGGCATTCTCAAATCTCAAGGTTAAAGTATTCACAAAAGTCGGCGTCTATTTCTTGTTAATTCTATAGGTATTAAGCAATCAAACATCAATGCAATCAATTAAATGTCAACAATCAGTAAGCATCAACCACGTCAATTAGAACTCCACCTGCATTTATACCATACTCGATTTTTAAAACGCGTAGTGCTCGGTTCTGGGTCGCCGGGCAGTATCGGGAAGTTTGTTGTTATTCCGTTCACGAATGAATTTTCAGCGTATGTAGGATGCCGAACAGTGATGGCTTAGACCTGATATTGCAGGATGTCATATTGCAGAATGCCTTATTGCAGGTGATACCTGATTTATAGGCGGGATACGGCACCGTTCGGCGTCACCTCGGCCTCCGGGATGCGCTGTGATAAATTGAAATTCGTGCGACATACCACAATATTATGCAAATAAGACTGCGATGGGCGCATCTCATCAGATCTTATTGAAGAGTCGCAAAAGGTCGCACTAAAAGTCAGATGGTGCTTCATCAATCACGGTGTCAGCATCATTTTAATTCACGTCGAGGAAAATACGATAGAAAATATAAGACGTGCACGTTCGAGGAACTGAGAGATCCAAGATGCGAGGCACCAAGAATTAAAATGCAAGACAATATCTTAATGGATTGCATTATGGTCAAATCCTATGAAGTGGTGAGTCAGCTTTCTTCACGAGCCATGCTAAAATTACTTTCCGCTCTTCAGTAATTCCTAGTAGAGCCGTCAGTAGACTGGCAGCTTCCGACGTGTTGTCGCCGGCAATCTGAAAGTGTCAGCTCAATTCTCATCAACACCCCTCCCCGTTCGCTCGCCCTCCCCTCAATCTCTCCCCCCTCCTCCCCGGGCGCTCGCCCAGGACCCAGAAACGCAACGCAGCAGGCTGGGTGAGCGCCACACAGGTCTGGAAACTAATTGCGCCAAATTCGTCGCAATCAGCGAGGCGAAGCGTGTCCCGCCTGTCGATACAGCGAGACGACCCGACTCTAAAGAAATGCCGCAGCTAAATTGGAGAAATGGAGCGACTGCCGGCATACAAATGGTGACAAGGAAATACTACACACACGACGAGCCGTCACGCAGATCTATCTTATTGACTGTAACATTATTTCAGATCTGAAACGCTGAGCAAAAAGAAACATTCAGGGTGAGGTTTGGCTCATCAAGCTTAGCTTTGTCAAATGGGGTCAAAGGGCACTTGTCCGATCAGGTAGGTACGGCGCTGGCATAAGAACAAAACCTATAAAAGCCAATTATATTGATATTTGCTTGTTATAAACGCAGCTAAGTACTGACGTGCGTTAGCACCTCAGGTTCATGTCTGAGGTAGCCTGCCTCCATTTATGGCTGTGACGCCCGCTACATACCCTAGCGATGACAGCCGGTTTCTAACGAATAACCGCTGATGTCATGTCATTAGCAACCAGCATCGCTATGGGTCACCCTCATCACCGACTGAAATCCAGAGACCCTGCATCACTCCTAGCGACTGTCACATCACCATTGTGTGGCTATCCTACTCATCAAACTAACCACAGTTCCCATCTCTCCCCTCCAGGGCTGCTCGTCTCCCCAAACGACCCCGTCCCTGACCCGAGAACAATACCCTCGTGACCAAACTCGCAACCTCACGAGCTCCAATTCATGGTTCAGCCTCCGTGAAACTCGCCGTAACACAGCAGCCATTAAGAAGAAGT